TCTTGCCTTTTGGCAGAATTAATGTAGGCCATAGGTAGACAGTTCAGAACAGGAAAGATTTTATACCAGTCAAAACAACAGTTCAAAACCCATGGAACTGAACCACAAACTGAGCTTTACTTGGAAACGGCAAAGGAATGGGGATCTCTCGAGTGAAGCTTCTTATACAACAGAAATTAAGTTGTTACTTTTACAGAGCACTATAAAATAGTTTTTAACAATCAGTATTTCATTTTCCAGCATGTAACATTTCCCTAAATCAAAAGAACCTTTCAAAGAGAATTTTCCCAAGGTATCTTTCCTGACACTCCAAGCTGTATTTTCTGGGGTTTGAGTGGTTCCAAAAAGACACTCACACTAACGTATATTCAGTAATTATTAAAAGATGGAAGCAAAATAGTTTAATAAACACTTAAGATTGTTCAGTGAGCCAGACAATCCACCAGCATCCAAAACACACCCTCCTCCTCTTTTGAGAGAGATGGCTTGTGAAGAAAAAGCTGATTAAAACTTCACCATGCAGAACCCTTGGTGAGCTTTAATTCCATATATATCAGCAGATCACAGTGTGAACTCCACAAAAACTTACGAAAGTCCATAGTAACATCCTCTTCCAAATGCTTTTTGCATTAGGTCCTTCCAGAGGATTTGGAAAAGGGACTTAGAGCTTGGTTAGTTCGGGTTGTTTCTTTTTTTAAAACCCACCACATCATATGTAACAGCAACAGAAATAAACAGCTCCTTATATAACAGATTCAGCCTATATTTCTTCCATCTCTTAATGGTCAGAACTTTTCCTTCACAATGAAATGGCTTAGAATATCATCAAAGTTTTGGAAAAGGGAAAAAAAAAATGAGAAACACTAAAAAGAACTAAAAAAATTAGAATTGAATCCTGAAAGTCCTGCCTAGTAACGCTGCCTCTGACTGGTCTCACGTGAATTAGCAAAGTTAACACAACTTGTATGTGGTTGGCAATACTTACCTCTACACAAATCACCTTTAAAAGGCTGACTTTAGGTCTTAAGAAAACAAGACACACACTTTTATCTGTTCTTTCATGAAGTGGTTTTTAAAGGGGAAAAAGAAAACCCAAAGCAAATGTATCTAACACCTAAAAATACCATGCATAAAATCTACTATCCACGAACAGAAGATGTTGTGATTTTCCCATTAATCATCATAACCACCAACCAGATTGGGTAAACTTATTAGTTTCTAATTATATACAATAATATTGATTAAGAAGTTATTTTTGCCATAGAAAATTAGTCCTATTTTTTATCTAGGATAAAGACTCAACCACTTGGAATCGAATTGAGATGAGACTGTTTGTTAGTGAGAAAAGCTACATTCTCTTCAATGCATTTACTGTCGGGCTAAAAACATAGGATATTATTAAGATGTTCAAAATCTAAAAGATGCCTGTTTTTAATTAACTACGTATCTGATAGGAATTATAAGTGCAAGCAATATCAGACCCAAGGAGATTAAGCCTTGTAAATGTATCTGACAAATGACTGATGTAACAAATGGCCCATATGAACTGGAATACCTTGATTACTGGACTCTTGAAACTGGTTTTAAATTCAATTACAATGTATGCTGACCAGGATAATACATCTTATTTCTTTTTTAAGATAAAACCCATTTAAAGCGATCAGGTTTCTAAGCTAAGGAACTTCACATGCTAGTTTAATATTTTAATATTTCCATTAACAGCAGCAAGAAAAACAAGCTATGGTAGTGTGAAACTCTCTTGCTCACACTCTTCCAGAGAAACCCACGCAAATCAGAAGGGACCATAATATTTACTTGGGTCAAGGACATAAAAGATTCTTGGCCAACCAGATGTAACAGCTGAACACTATCAATAAATTTATTAAGAGGCACAGAGTCATATGACCTCCAGCACAGGACTTCAGGTAGTAAAAACCAAAACACACTTAAAAAATCCCTGCATTTCGTTTATTATCTCTGTGACCTCGAGCACGTGGTGTTGCCCCACTCCATGTTACCTAAACTGTGAGGTTTGGATGAAGGGCACTTCCCCAGGGTATTTATACAGTGCCTCACAGAACGGGGCTGCAATCTCAACCAAGAAGCATAAAAACAACTCAAGAATAAAATGATAGTATATATGCACAGTTTTGTATAAATTGGGATTTAAATATATTTCCCCTTTGCTGGCGTGTAAGAACACCACCAACAAAATACATTTCTAAGGAATGAATTGATTTCTACGTATTTTTAAGTTATGCCAAAAGAAAAGAGTTTTCCCAAGAGACAGGCAAACTGGAAATTACTCAGGGGTTGCTTAGTTACACTGTAGGACTACTTTAAATTATCCTTCAGACATTGCAGCAAAACTGGAATAGTAGGTGCAGCCTCTCATGATGTGGAGTTAAGTCCACGTGGGAATTTGCACCATTCTTGCTCATGAATTTTAGAGTGCCAATACAACGGACTCATTTAGAGTTAGTTACAGTCTTGGTGAGACAGTGCTACCACTGTAAAAAGCATTTTCCTTAAAAAGTCATGATTTTAAATTTTAGTCCATTATCATGATGGATCATATCAACTCACAGGCAGAGTTCATAAATACCTATGAATTATATGTAGAAATAATGCCCAAAACAAGCCCTTGGGCAGGGGAGGAGGTTTGTATATGGCTAATAAAAGCCACCACAATTCCAGCTACAGCACAACTAAATTAAATGGGCCTTTGGGGTATTACTAGCAAATTCAGAACCCTTTCAAATAGATTTTTAGAGATTAATACTTGGATGAAATGTCATACATGTCTAAAAAATGAGTGAAAACTGCCAAACATCTTGTTCTAAATACTGTGCTGTCTTTGTTGGAAGAGGCTGATTTTCAAGCTGTCAAGAGTTGTATTAAATTAAATGCTTGGACAAGAAAAATGTTTTACAAAAATTTATTGTAACCATCAAATACTTAAAGGCATTCTGCATTAAATACACTAATTACTTCTTAATAAACAGAACTACTGCAAACATATCAAACAGTACCATTTAAAAGATCAGAAGGACCAATAATAGTTACACAACAGAAGATGAAAGCATACAGCACTATATGGCATAGTATGACCCACTTGGATATTGCATTTTGGCAAAAATGATTTCAAGACTATTAATATTCATGTCATGCACATCCCCAGGTATGCAAATAACAGAACATCTAAACTAGAGACTTGCAAACAGGAGAGTTCCCACACTACAAACACCCAGCAGGTACTAGGTACCCTCTTTGGCCTGGAAGAAAATAGGCAACTTCTCTGAATCAGTAGGTAAACTACTTAAACACTTTGTGTTGAGTAAACAGAAGAACAAGTTTTTAACTCTTCTTGAAATTTGTTCCATCTTTTTACATTTTATATCTCTGATTCTAGTGCCAAGTACAACACATGATTAATGTAAAATCAGACTGCAGTTACCAGTTAACATGTCTGAAGGTTGACAACACTGTTTATTGACAAAATACCTCTCCATCTCATGAATATATATTCAAAATATCCCCTAAAGAAAAACTTAACAAAGAGGCAGCTTAAAAACAAAGTACAGAAAGTGATTTTTAAAGCCCAAATTTATATTACTGAGTTGTTAGCAATTAATTCTTTTCCCAATATAGCTCTTAAACTAATAATTAAGATCTGTCAAAAACATTTGTATGAGAAATACTGAACTTCTGACAAAAGTGTCTCAGTTTAATTATCAACCAGAAACTCACCAAAAAAAAAGAAAAAAGAAAAAAAGTGAAAAAAATAATCAAAACAGGACTGAAATTAAAGTATATTTTAAAAAAAATCTTGATATTACCAAAGTTTAAATGTTCTGCTTATGACCCTGTGCTGTCAAGTCCCTAAAAAGCGTCTTTCTTTAAAAGTTGAATTACTTGATTAAATTTCATGACTGAAAACAAGCAAGAACTAATTCAGCAGCAGCATTTTGATGCCAAACTGAGGTCCGTAAAGGATATAAAACAGTGTTTTTAAAATTTACTTTAGCCACATATCAAAACATACTCTGTGAAACAAAGATTCCATATTCTAAACTATTAAGGCTCAGAAGCAGAAAAAGACTCCATCAGCAACTGTGCAAAGCTGGTCCCACACATGCTATATGGCCAAAAATTAAACTCAGTTTCTGAAATACTATATAAAACTTTGCTGAACAACTCTTCAGTCTAACTACAATAACTTCCAAAAAGAACCAGTGGCTCAGAACTGAGCAATGCTTCATGGTGTGCATTTACTCATGAGGAAACAAAGCTTTTACATTTCTAGCCAGGCTAATTTTGATAGCTACAGTGATTCTGGCAAAATATGACATGTCTTAACTAACTGTATCTTACAGAGGTTCACTTTTATTGAATTTGAAAGTGAAGCAATACATATAAGCCACAATTCTGAAAATATCTATGCAAAGACTTAAAATATATGTGTATAGTTAGTCTCTTTGATACCAGTGGAGTCTATGCACAGTGCTTGTAGAATCAGGGCCTTAATTGTCACATTAGTCACTTCAGGTACTCTTTAGTGGATTAGAACTCAGCTGAATTAACTGAGTTAATTCATTACTGACAATTAACATTATCTGAAAATATCTAATACTGTTTTCCCCACATTTGTGTTTTCTCTTTATTGGGAAAAGGCATTTCAATTAAAAAAGCATATTAAGTAACAGTAATAACCAAATTAATTCTGAAAATATTGCAGCACTGCATATTGCACAGATGCAAACTGTCACCTTCTATTCAAAGAACTAGCTGAAATTCACATTTATCAGAAGTAGCTTTTTACCTGCCTGAAAGAAACACTTGTCACAAAGCCCACACTTCCAACAGGAACACAGCCCGGCCAGTGCTGCGGAGCATTTATAACACACCCTACGCAAGGTGTGTTAACTAAGGCTCCTAAAGGCTTGCTTTGCATTTCTGGGCTTTGGCCTCTGTTTTCTGGCCCCGTGTTCAGGCTTGCGGGAGGCCCGTGAGCGAGTCTGTACCAGGCAGGCAGCCGTGGCTTTTACAACCTGCTTGCTCTTCCGTTGCGCCGCTTTGCGCCCACGCCTAGGGTGTGTTATAATCGAGTTTAAGTCCTTACGGAGGGTATCATACCTATTCTCAGGGTCGTCATCATCATCTTCCTCCTCCTCCATTGGAATAGTCCTTGATAGAGCCTCTCCCTCATCTCCTGAAAAACAACCGAACAGGAAGCACTCAGCACAAGGAAACCCAGCAATGAACGACAGTACATGACAGCACAATGAACACTGGAGCGCATGGACTACATCTCCACCAACAATCCCCATTAAAAACAGCTTGGTAATACCACTTTTCTATCAGTTACCTACCTTGACACATAAAAATAAGTATTTTTATTAATAAAGTATCTAGTTTTTCAAGCAGCACTTGTATCCACATTATGCTTGCTACTACACGCAGCTTGCAATTCTTGCCTTGTTACACACCGTGAATTGGGTTTCTTACACCAAAACCTGAATACTCCTCCCAGGAGCCAGAAATTAAGTTTCCCAAGAAGTTATTTGCTCTATCAGAATCTCCACTACTGAGTTTGGGTAAATTGAAAAGGCGGCAGGAATCCATTACAGAATTGCTTGCCAAGCCTATGAGCTGCCCTGCTGCCATGAGGAAGCACTGCAGAACACTAATCCTTCTCTACATTTGCTTTCAGAGTACATGTGTGTGTGTAAAGAGTCATGTTTTGAGAATTCCACGTGCTATCCTAACTGTAAATATCCAAACTCAGCTGCACTACATGGCACTGTCTCATATGGAAAGGACACGAAAACCAACAGTGCGGGACACGGAACAAAGAGCAGCCCAGGATGGCACCCACCTTAAAGCTCCTCTGCACTCTCCTGGCTGGACACAGAGGAATTCAAATTATTTCTAGCGCACTCTCAGGCCTCTAGCCTTGCTTTTCTCTTGTTCTTCTGACTTGTATATAAGTCAGACAAATCTGTTAGGTAGTAAAATTAAGCTAAGGAAAAGAAACCTCACAATCCTAACTAGCTGAGATCCCTCCATTTATAACCTCTACTGCTTATTTGCCACCTGTGTGGACTGGACTAAAACCAGGCTGTGAGAAGCTACTCCAAGTTGTTTGAAGGTACACCTGTCCTGGAAACAGCATTACCCAGATGTCATCTGACAGGACTGTCTAAGAGGTGATCCCAGGATGTACCTCACTTAGGTGAAAGCATCCTGGTGAAAAAACCAGATTCTAAGTCTCATTCGATGATCGATCTATGCAGCTTGTTCACAAACAGAAGAGATTCCTTTATTAATTCACTTATTAAGCCAACACATGTCTCCTCTTAAAATAATCTAACATAGGCAGGATTTCATAAAATCAAACTCAGGCTGGAAAAGACCTCTGGACATGACTTACTCCAATTCCCTCCTAAAAGCAAAGCTAACTCCCAAATAAGATCAGTTTTTTCAGGGCCTTGGGCAATCGAGTTTTGAGCATTTCCAAGGACAGGGATTCCAGAATTGGACAACTGTCAAGCTTTGATCATGGTCAGTGTATATAAAACACTTTTGCTAGTACCTATATCAGTTTTCTTTGCTAAATCCTGTACCTACTGCCTCATCCTCTCAGCACACGTTCAGCTCAGCCGTCCCTAAAACTGCCCATTAGGTGATTTGCAGGCAGCAATTTAGACTTGTCATTTTTAGCATTCTCTCTCCAGTCTAAACCAACCCCTTTCTCTCTGTCTAACTCTACTGCCAATCATCCCACATCACCATCTCATTTTTCCAATTTGTACACTGTTACCCTTCTCTCCAATAATTATCCAACCCTTCCACTTGTGACTTGCAAGTTAAACAATTGCTTCCACTGCCTCAGAGACCTTGTGATATATTACAACCAACCTTTTCCCCCCGGCCATTTCGATACCAAGTCTGTGAACACAAACTGTACACAAGCAATCCCATTTTTAAGGTATTTTTCTTCGATGATTCAGTGATGCTGAGAACTCTCAGAGTACCATCAACTGTCTGTCTCTGGGAGAGTTTTAACAGCCATGGCAGTTACTACACACAAAAAGCCAGTTCATTACTATGTAAACTACTCATTATTTGCAATCTCCCCCAGCAGTGGCATCACTGGGGAAAACACTGATAAGGCAGCACTCAAGGTAAAGCCCTAAAAGTCCCAGTACCATGTGCAGAGACACAACTAAACTTACTTCATCGGAAGGCCTTGAAAAACAAACATTACAGGGCTGTGTCAAACACAGAACAAGAAACTTATTTTCCAATTGCTACTCAAGGATAATGCAAAACACCATTAACCAAACTTTGCTTGGGCTCTACATCTAAAGCAGCACAGCACTCAGAAAAGCAGCCTTTACATCTGCAAAGATGAACAACTCTCTCCTGAAACTGAACTGCAGGAAAACTTCAGGAAGAAGTGGGTCACCATCAAGCTGGTAGGAGAAAGGGGGAACATTAATGTCCAATTCAAAATCCGATGGTTTCAGGGTTTTTTAGGGGTGAGGCTTTTTGTTTAAGATGTTACAAATAACAATCATTTCATTTTGTACCTAGTATCTGCCTACAAGTATTTTATTGAAAAGTCAAAAGATAGCTGTGTCCCTTCTGCTGTCTTACCACAGAATCATGGAATCCCAGAATGGTTTGGGTTGGAAGGGACCTTTAAGCTCAGGGACATCTTCCACTAGCCCAGGTTGCTCCAAGCCCCGTCCAACCTGGCCTTGGACACTTCCAGGGATGGGGCAGCCACAGCTTCTCTGGGCAACCTGTGCCAGGGCCTCACCACCCTCATACGAAAGAATTTCTTCCCAATATCTATTCTAAACCTACCCTCAGTTGGAAGCCACTCCCCCTTGTATCTTCATAAACATATTGTAGTTTTATTCACTTTTAGTTTAGCTGCAGCTTTGCAAACAACTGTATCTGAGCCAACAGTTAAAGTCACGTACAGAAAGTTCTGTGAAACGTAACTAGAAGAAAAAGAAACTGAACAGTTTATCTGTCATGCTAATTAAAACAGGAAATATTTTTCCTAGTTGAAAATTCATTTATTAAAAACATGTCTACTGTCTGTGTAATGTGAAAACTGCTTTCTTAAGTTCTTTAAAACTACGTATTGGAACACAGCAGTTCTGAATTTTCTAAATTTACCAAATCTTCAGGACACTGACAAAGTAATTTTGCCTTGGCAAGGAAAATAATTATTACTCTTAAACCTACTATGAAAACAATAAGCAATGACAGATTTCTGTAAGTGACACCAGCTCTTCTAAGGCTACATGGCTCTTGTGAGGCACAAAAATCATCTCCTTGATTTTTAAATGTGTCCTGCAATGCCAAAGGTCTCCAGAGTCATCTCCAGTGCATAACCAGGAGGTGACAAACATGAGTTCCCTGGGTTATCTACTCCTTTAACCCAGCTTCTGCTAAAGCAGTCCCTGGCAGGCAAAGCAAGGACTGGGCTTTGGAAAGCCGAGCTCCAAAGCAATACCGACTGCAACTACAGACTGCAGCTTCTCAAGCCTCTCCATTTACAGTGACATCCTCAAGGGTCAAGCTGCACAAACTGAAGTAATGTAATTTTAGAATCACAAGACAGTTTGGGTTGAAAAGGAACTTTAAAACAGGTGCTTCCAAACCAGTATCAGAAAACCTAACTGCCTGCAAATATTTAAATGTGTAATTACCAACTGACGAATATTTTTCACTTCTAGATTACTAAATGTTACCCGAACCTTACAGAATTCCTCTATTAATATATTAACAATAGGTGTACATGAACACCTTTTGCACACCTGATGACTGACAGAATCCTGCACCAGCAGACAGCATCAAGCTCTCAGTCACTGGCCTGATCTTCTGCTCGTCGCTGCTTCCATCGCCACTGGAATTCTGCTCATCATTTTCTTCCTTATCAGATGAGGAAGAGGAAGTGACAACCACTTTCTTTTTTGACACTTTCTTTTTTAAGCTACTCCTTTTACTTTCTTTCATTGACCCTCTTTTAGTCTTTTTCTTACTGTCTTCATAAGACTCCTCATCAGAAGAAGATGAATCATTCTGTTCTTTTTTGGAAATTTTCTTTTTGTGACTTATTTTTTTCTTTTCTTTCGTTTCAGTTCGTTTTTTACGCTGCATGGCATCATCAGAAGAACTCTCCTCTTTTTGGGGAGATTTCTCAGTATCAGAGGATAAATCAATGTGTACTCTTTTAGCTACTCTCTCTCTCAAATTTCTCTTTTCTGTAAATACAGGTTCCTTTTTAATTTTGTCGTTTTCAGAAGAATTGCAACTTCCCTTCTCTGGAGAGGACTTCTCACCATCAGATGAGGAATCATCTTGCTCTTTCTTGAAACTTTTCTTTTTCAATTTTTCAGATTTCTTCGTTTTGTTTTCTGACCCTTTCTTGTTCTTGAGTCTGTCCTTTGAAGACTCAAACTTGTGCTCTTTCTTTGCAGATTTCTCAGTACTCTCTGAAGAAGAATCTTCTTGTGCCTTTTTCTTTTTCAAATCCTTGGTTTTGTTACCTTCAGGAGAACTTTCCTCTTTCTCCAGTGAAGACTTCTCAACATCAGAATACTCATCATGTTTTCCCTTTGTGGATTTTTCTTTTGAGTCCCTGTTTATCTTCTCCTTAGCAGACAACCTCTTACCCACTTTTTTATCTTTAGAAGAATGGTTCATTTCCTTCTCTGGGGAAGACTTTTCAACATCATCATCATCTTCAGAAGACTTACCTTTCTTTTTCTTCCGATTTACCTTTCTTTTACTGCTTACTTTCTTCCTCTGCTCTTCTTCAGAGGAATCGTAACTATCCTCTTTTCGTGAATATTTTTTCTTAGGCTTTTTGGCAGCCTCAATTTTACTTAACATTTTTATCTCTTTTTCTAACTCAGAATCATAGTTTGAAGAATCTGAATAGTTTTGTCGCTTCTTTTTAGCAGCGGCGGCGTTTTTAGCCGATTTGCCTCTTTTAGCATCTAAATCTGAACCAGAACTGGAACTTTTTCTTTTTCGTTTTCCATTTTCATCCTTTACTGGCTGATTCTTCTGAAAATCTGAAGTCTTCTGATCATTTGCTGGTGCTTCACTATTGCTGTCAATGTCTGAGGAACTGTGACTCATCATTCCTGCCTCTTTAAGAACAGCTGGCATCTCATCAGAATCCGAGCTCTGATCCAAAACATATGGCTTCTTGGATTCGGAAAGGTTATCAGGGCTGGGGCCATCAGCAGCACTGTCAGAAGGGTTTCTCTTGTCGTTTTTCCTCCGTGGCTGCTTGGCTGGTTTTCCCTTGCGCTTCTCACTGCCCATGTCATTGCTGTCCTCCTCCGAGTTGGAAGTCAGAGGGCTCATGTCCGTGGGGCGCCGCAGGGGGGTGGTTTTCACGCGCGGCGACCTCCGGAGATCGGACTCCTCGACAGGCACGGCCTCGTTCTCCGTGGAGGGTTCACTGCCAGCATTGTGATTTTGTTTCACAGGGTCGCAGTTTTCTGCTCTAGGCTTTGCATCAACACTTTTATTTTCCTTCTCTAAACTGTTGTCTCGATCTTCAGCTTTAACTGTAACCTCTGAGAGGGAAACAGGAGTCAGTTTTACAACCAATTCTTTTGTTCCTTTAGCCGATGATTTTAACTTGGTACTACCTTTGGCATCTTTCACGGGAGCGTTCGATTTTGTATTTGAATTTAGAGTCTCATGATCTGTTCCTGTATTTCCACTCTCCTGCTCATCTGATGGCATCTGAATCTCCATAGCAGATTCTAGAGTCTCAAAAATGTCTTCAGGAACAGATGAGGGAATGGACACTATATCCATGTCCAAAGCCTCTGTACTGTTCGGCTCATACTGAGGTTCTTCATTTCTGCCAGACTTCTTCTCTTCCCCAGAAGTAGGTTTGTTATCAGTCTGTTCCACTGTTGGAACACTTTGATCCATGGGCTCACTGTCAGGCTGTTCTGATACAACCTTTTTCGGCGTCTGTACAGTGTCATCCTCTTTTAATGCCACATGTTCCTTTCCTTCATCTTTTTTCACCTCATTTTTTTCAGATCTAACCTCAGTTTTTTTCTCTTTGGTATTTTTATCTTTGATTTTAACATTCAGTGCTTGAATCTCCAGGTTCAGACCTTCTTCTAGTGCCAGATGAGCTTTTTTCATGTCACTCAGCACAGATTTAAAAGCCTTCAGCTGACACAGTTGCACAGTTGGGCTTATTTCTACATTTTCTGCAGCGTTTTTCAAAAAGCTTACAAAGCTAGAATTGAGATTTGCTGTAGTTTCAACCAGTTTTTTTGTTTTCTTAAGCAAGTCTTTTGGCACCATTAGTGCTTTATAAGAATATGTTAGTGAACCTGAATATGAATTATCTAGTTTTTTTTCTTCACCATTACAGTTTGCACTATTTCTCTTTGGAGAAAACTTGACTGTATGGTCATATATTTTACTTTTTTCACTTTCAACTTTGATCTTTTTTTTGTTTTGTTGAAGTAACTGTTCTAAATTTTCAAAGACACTGTCACATGCAGTGACCAAGTCCAATAAAGGCTCTGGATGGCAAATATAGCAGTGCCACTGGTTATTTTCATCCAGGATAGTCGAGAGCTCCTTTCGACCCAGGTTGCGCAAAATGCACTTTTTACAGAAGGCGTTATGGCAAAAGTCACAGCAAATCAAATTTCCACCTTCAGCACACCACCTGAAACGAGACACGAGGAATGGAAGAGGTTTGTCTCCAGACCAACACAGTGGCAAACTCTTAAGCTGACATATTTAAAAATTCAGGTGATAAACAGATCCGTTTATGGAAACCATTTTTAAAAGCACATCTGAAAAGCACTCAGCTGAGAATTGGAAAATCAGAAAATTCATGTATTAGATTAAAAGTTCACAAGGCTGAAATGGTCAGTAATTTTCAAACACAACTTCAGCACTGATTTTAAAGAAAAGAAAAAACTAATTAAATTTTATTTTCCCTGTTTCTTCTGAAAATTTGGGGAGAGGAGGGAGTGGAGTGATTTATTTTATATCAGAAGCAATTGGTTTAAGTCTTTCTAGCCTTAACTGATAATTACTACTGCAGGCACATATGACCTGAAAAGTGGTGGACAAGAAAGCTCATAAGCATCACAGACTGCACAATTTTGACAGAATTACGCATTTAGATATTTGACCTAAGGACAGAGAAATACTTTAGTATTTCAAAAGTGGGAAATGCATCTGTAGAAATAAGTTTCTGTGACTCACAAGGTTTAGAATGTCAGATTCTATCCCCACCTTTAAAGTGTTTGTAAGGTTAGTGGGCATTATGGGTCAATACCCAATTAATGGGCATGTTATTTAGTTAGAAATGTGATGTCTAAAAGTGTTTGCTATTGGATTCATTTATAAAATGTTTTCCTATTAATTACTTAAATAACAATCAAATAGATAGGAAAACGCTGGGGTTGAGTATTTCTTGGTGAGAAATAATTGTTGATTAAGCTCTTAAGCTCTTATGTACTGGTCTTATTTCTTGCAATAATAAGCTGACTGACAAAGCTCCCCAGGCCAGAAGGGCTGTGGGTGTGTTTGCAGTCCCTGGCCCCTCACCTGCACTGTTCGTCCATGCCGTCGGAATCCCGGCTGATGTCATCGCTCATGTAATACTTGTAGCACGTCTGGAAAGAGACAGGACGAGGAATTCTTTATTAAATCCCAACAAGGCTTCAGAGAGCCATTTGATTTCCGAAGCTTGCCAGTAAAGGCAGCAGCTGCAAGGTCTTCAGCATTCTAAGCCTTTTACATTTGTGTTAATCTAAAAAAAAAAAAATCTACCACGGATACAATAGGTCCCAAAACGTGACTTCTTATTTAGATGGCTCAAGGTTTATTTGAAAATTAAATAGGCTTGTTTGATTGCTGTGTAACTGTGTATTTAGAACATCAGCTGAATATTTCTCTTCAAACCTCTAAGTTTTTTCCCATCTATTTCCTATGTAAATCAATACCACATCCTCCCCAGCACAATTAATCCTACATAAATTACAGTTTTCAGCTGTATGCTCCTTATGTTAGCATCTGATGCCATAAAGCTTTACATAAAAAGGTCTTCAGCAATTATCCTGATGTCAACACCCAAGTATTCAATTTCCAGGTACAAACTAAGTATCTTTATTGAAAATTTGGTAATGCTAAGAAAAAAAACTCAGCTAGAAGTAGCAATGGCTTCAGTTTCTGAACTCTTTACACCAAATTTGGAAGGTGTGATGTCATTTTTTTCTCCAGTTGCTAGTGAAAAAGGTTCTCCCAGACTTGCAGTTCTACTTTGAACAGGCATTAATACAAACCATTAGCTACATTCTGTCCTTTTACCCAGCAGATCAGTGAATTCAGAATCCAGAAGAGGATTCAGCACATGAATTTAACATGATGATGCCCCTTTACATGGAATAGATTTATGTATCTGTTCAACTGAACTATCCAAACAATCAAAACCAACACAAAACCCCAGTAATGTCTGATATTTAGACGTTTGATGGAACATTCATAGTTGAAGGAAAACAGCTTCTCAGGTCTGGGACTGTTGACCTAAGCAGGAGAAAAATAAGGGCAGAACTAGGCACAGAAAGCAACGGAAGACCTGGAGTATGGAGATCAGGGACTTCCACTCCTCACTCCCACATTAATTTAAGGCCATGTTCCACTAAGCACATACAGAAAATTTAAAGGAAAAAGTCCTGGATGCAATTCATGTAGCAGAGCCCCCAGTCAAGAGCTGCTGTTGAACCCAACACCCTAAAGAAGTTAAAAAAATGACCCAGGTCTCTTGTGCATGGCAGGAACACAGACAGCTGCAGCCACCTGCTGAGGATTTTCAAGCCTAGAACAAGAGCTGGGACTCCAGTGGAGATGGAAGACAGTCATCGTGTGAGCTGATTATTGTAAAGCATATTTGAGAAAAGAAACAAGTCAGAATACATAGAAGAGGCAGAACATCAGACTACATGACAGTCTGTCAGCTGCACATGGAACATTAGTCAGGAACTGGGGAGAAGGAGGAGGGAAGGGAACAGGAATGCTACATGTGCACTGTAACAGAGCTGTATCTCTCTACCTTTGGCAACACCTTTACAAATACAGCATCTATAGGCTGTAGAGACATGCAAGAGAGATCTCCCTATCTCTGAAAATTAACAGAGGTCTCCACAGCAGGGGCAGGGATGTTTCCTTCCTGCCCTGTTGCCCCCCTCTTTCCATTGCAGGCAACTCAGGGCCTCTCTGAAGCCATCAGGAAAGCAGGCAGCTGAAGACCCAGATCTGGGTTTAGGTTAGGTTTAGATCATTATTTCAAAGCTGCCATAAATTAACACAATCCACGAGCTGCAGAAACCGAGATGGCTCTGAAGCTACTTTTCTGCTCCTAATTCCAATCTTGTTTTACACAGAACACTTTACCAGGACATCCAGACTTGAATCTGCTCTTACAATACATTATGAGTAGGCAGAAACTTCAGACAGATCATTTAACATTAAAAATTCACTACTATTACAGCCTTAAAGCTATAAAACTAAATTCCACATAAACCACAATGAGTTTAACTGAGGTATAAGAAAACAGGAATATAAATTTGTAAGTATATTTGCTTTTCCCCCCCGCTTTTACTTTCCTTAACTGTAACAGCTAATGACTAAAAAAAAGAACTACTCCCACAAAAATCCCAGCCAAATCAACTAATATGACATTTCAAACAAAAACAAACAGTAGAACTGTTTACCACATACCTTACAAATAAGAACTTTCAGTGTAGGATGTCTGTAGATTGAATCCTTTTGAAAATGGTTCACCTGTTGCCCACAAGCTGTACAGCTTACAATTCCATGTAGTCCTTCCTCTATAGAGAGGATTATAAACCACACATTAATTGTTTTCTTTTTTTTTTTAAGAAATCTATATATACCTATTTAATTTTCTTACAATATTTCGGCCTGTCAGGTTTTAGGCCTTTATTTCTTTACCGCCCAGCACTAGAGATCTTTCTGTAACCACTTGTCATTTAAAGCCTGAAAGAATTTCCCTCTAATTTCTATGCTCCATTTGGGGTGAAGATACAATTCTTTTCCTTTGAGAGATTCAATTTGGGCTAACTGGTCACCTCATGAGAACATACCTACATAAGAGTCATCAATAAAACTCTTCCAGAGCAGCCCTGATATTCTGGACAATGTTCCAAATTTAATCTTTGTTTAGCAAATGCATGTTTATATTATATTTTCTTTCACACACAGTTTAGTTTCTCAAAGAAGAATACAGAAAACTATTACAGAAGATGCACAAAATCCTTTTAATAGTGCCTGAAAAATCTTTTCTCACCTTTTGTTCCCTTCTTGATGGCGGTTTTTGCTGTTTGGGTTTTTCTGAAACTACAATTTTGCTATAATACACATGTACTCCCCATCTTGCTGATTGCTCCCAGTTTGTGGACCACCCTGCTGCTATACCTATATTTGGTCAAGAAAACATTTCTTTACTGCCAACCCCCCAAATTCACTTTGGAAGGGGTGAACGTGGGCTTGGCAGGTTCACTCCATGCCAGGCTGTTAAACCAACTAGTTAATACTGTGAGACCTTTCTGTTTTCAGCAGCAGAAAAAGGAAAATCATTTGTGAAAGCCCATACACTTTCAAAATCCTAATCTGGGATCAAGCAGATAGAGGTTTGATACGGGATCACTCAACTGTGACTTGTCCTTCGCTGCCATGTTCTTTAAGTGGAACAAGGAAATGAACTCAAATGGTTTCACTCAATGGTTACAATCTGAGTACAGACTTCGTATTTTTTTCTAGTTTTCAAATACTCACTGCCACAGAAGCACCAACACCACAATGTTAAGGGACTGAATGAACATTCTCAAGACACAATGCAAGCTACCAGCAACCTGCTGCTGAAGCACCATCTTAGATGGCTCAGGGGCCAGTGAGAACAGCTGATACACCCTCACAACTCAGGGAAATTCTGAATACATGACTGCATGTCTGCAGAGCCTGGGCACTCACAAAGCCCTCTCACCACCTCAAAACCAGCTCAAACACTGGTTTCAGACACCGCTGGCGACCTTGAATAAAGGCATCCGTCGTATCGCACTCCTCGGAAAGCAATCCCGTGTTCCGCAGCACGGAACCCAACCCAGGTCTGTCACACACCACAGCCAGCTCAGGGACAACAGGCCATTCCCTGCCAAATCCTGAGCCACTTCCCTTTTTCTACAGCTACGGGGAAGCACTGCGGCCTCCTTCCTAAGATCTGCCAGTTGGCACCAGAAAGAAAGATTTACGAGGCAAACCTCTGTAAGCCATGTTACTGCTACAAATGATGATGACCTAAAGAAATTCAGCTACTACTAATTCATTAATACTGAGAAAATACTTACTTTAAAACCTTCCTACCAGAGTTTATTAGCAAAAATACAACCATAACCATTCTGCAGACACAACACTTGAAAATAATGACACAATGACTCTCAGCAGTCTCAGATGAGAGCACCTGGTTGCTAGAAAGGCAAGACTTCTATTACTACCACTATTTCTAATATAAACAGGACATATAATTCCTAATAAAAGTGTAAAGATGCACTCCACAATGAACAAGACAGACTGGCATTTTTTATTTTATCGTTATTATTTACCTGCACTGTGCAGACAATTCAGGATCTCAGGGACTACACATTTACCTGCTCTGTACGTGCTCAGGGCACCTCAGTCAGGCATCAAGACACAGCTCAGTGCCACTTCATGCAAACAGCTGACAAAGTTTGACAAAAACAAACTGGTTTGATATATTCCCTAATCCTGCTCTAGAGGCTGATTGGAGTCACATCCCTCACCTGGCTACCTTTCCTGGTCTGGAAATGGGGTCAACACAAGGAGCAGGCAGTACCTGTTCCATTTCCCTGGAAGCTGACTGGAGTTTAACACATCCTGGAGAGCTCTAAAACCAAACACTATCAGCAGAGATGTTAACAGAGCTGAGCTCGCCCTGGACAAAGGTAAGGCTTAAACTCTTCATGTCCCTTCCAAAACTATTACCCCATGTCAGGCACAGTACCTGAGTAACCAGCCCAGATAGTCAAAGGAAAGCCTATAAATTCCCTGGGGACAGAGAAAAAAAGCTGGAAGGGCAGGTCATACAAACTGTCCTGGGGATGCAGACACAGGCCACAAAGCTCAAGCAGAAGGGTCCTATCTTCTCAACACTGCACCCTTGAAGAGTTCTGCTGGACCTTTTGCAAATGTTATAAGCACAAATGGGAAAAGCATTCCTAAATGCTGCACAGGACATCTTGCATGAATAAACAGAACCAACTTCCAAAGAAAGGGATTATTCAGAGAAAACATCAACGCTCAAAATGTGATTAACATCATGCATGAGCCCATGTGTATGCACAAGCACATTTCCACAGTCACATTTTACTCCCCTTCCACCACAAATGGAGAAATAGCACTTAATAAATTACTAGTAAGTACTAGTAAGACTCTAAAAGAGAGCACGTATCTCAAATGATATAATGGGAAGAATGAAGAGTGTGTACAAGATTTGTTTGTATGAATATCCTAGGTACTGCTGTAGGTATGTGAATTAAGATATTGCCAGTAGTGTTAATAAAAATATCTGCCTTCTTATTGGCTACTTTATAAAAAATCCTCCCTCTCCTTTAATTTTTGGAATGAAATACGAGAAATTAATTTCTGTTACTGCTATAATCTACCTAACTTCTCAATTTTAGCAGTAGCTACGGAAAAGCAGCTGACACAGCAGTTTTTCAAAGATAATCCTTAGAAGGGCCCACTGGTAGGGAATTTCTCACAATTTAAAAACAAAACAGAAGTCTTTGAATTGTTTGAGGGTTTTGGATTTTTCTCAGCTCACTGATGGATCATCTGCCTGTACATGTCCCACATGGTTGCTTTCTTAATAAGTGAACATTCCTGTATCAACACTGTTACAACGTAATTCCTTAAAAAAGGAATACCTGTAACACCTGAGTGCAACCAAGCAACTGCACCTAACGATGCATCCTATACCTACAGAAAATAAGGAGTATAATGGGAACTAATCTTAGCTTTCACTGCTGCATTGCAGGGGCAGCAATGGAGGCTAATTTCTGTCAGCATCCTTAATGAACAAAAAGCCAGAAGAGTGGAGGTATTTTTAGGATAATTTATCAGAAATATGAACAATTTTTAGATGTACCAAATGTGGTCGTAAGCAACAATTTAAACCCGTTTTAATAGATGTTTTAAGTTGTATTTACCTCCACGCTTTTTGGGAGCTTCAGGTTTCATTTTAACGGTATTTCTGCTTCTAAATTCAGGCCCTTTAAAATCATCTTTGTCTTCATTCAGCACTGGCTCAGGCTGTACAACCACTGTACCTAGAATAATTTTATTTAGAAATTGGAAACCATTACACATCCAAATGAAGTGCAAAAGTTCTGTTTAAATAAAGCCAACAAAAAAGTGCAATCCGTTGACCAAAACTCAACAAAGTTTTGAATGCACAGCTGTTCACAGAAAAAAAAAAAAAACAAAACAAAACAACCAAAAACAAACCACCACACACTTCAAAGTGTTGCAGCTGTAGGACAAAAGTCAAAGACTGGATGGGATGAGGAGCAAATTGTGCCCCCTCTGCCCTGATGTGGCACGTGCAGGACAGGACTGTCACACTGCTGGGGGTGTGGATAGGGATTTGTAGTGCAATGCTACAAATAAAGGACCTGGGTTACACCACTCAAACCCCTCAAAACCTCTACAGTAACTATGCATTTCTCTCTTTGTCCCCTTCTATCCAGTTTCCCTCGCCTGCATTTATTTCAGTATGAAATAAATGAAAAAGCAATACAATAAAAACTGCTTTGTCTTTGACAAAATTCAGAAGTTCGCATTTTCATTTCAATGAAGAGTACTAGTCAAAACCACGTGAATGAAAAAGCACATCTTTCCTACTTAAGAGCCCGGTTTTTATACTTTTGTTGTGAGGACACTGAAAATCATCTCATACTCTGAAAAAAATCATTTTGAAGTGACTGCTCTAAATACTGCTGCTCATGCAGTAAACAGCAGCAATTTTTCCTGTAACTTCCCTAGGTAAGAAATGGAGGAGATAATCAAACTCACACTGTAGTTAAGAGCAGAGGGATGTAAAGCTTAAAGAATTAACTGTTCCTAAAAGGTGCTTAAAAATACATCAAATAACGACATTTCCCTCCCAGAGTTAGTTTTGCTTTTGTTGATCTAATTGCTAATAAATAACCTCAGAGAGAACTGTAGAGTAAGACCACCAGGTGACAGAGCTCGAGCCTCGTACAAAACGAGGGAAGCATTCTTTCCCTGTGTGTGATGGTTTTACAGAGGTGGCTGCAGGCTCTGGACATGAAGCCCCCAGCACACCCCAGTGCCCCTGGGCTGAGCTGCAGCAGGTGCCAAGGCAGAGGTGCCAAGGCAGAGGTGCCAAGGCAGAGGTGCCAAGGCAGAGGTGCTGGGGCTCCTCTGTGCTGGCTGTGCTCACAGCCCTGGGTGTGTCCAGGCCAGCAGCACCCCACACAGCCATCTCACACATGTGCATTCCAGCCCATTATTTCTGCTGCCTCATCACCTTGGCTAATTTCCTGAATTCAGAAATGAAAAAAGACACCACCTACCTTTAGGTAAGCTTTGCATATCTACATCGTTTTCTGAGTTCTCATTTGAAACGTCTTCATTTACAGTTTCATCTACAATTTGTTCCTCATCTGACCCAACGTATTTTGTTACAACTGTAGGTTTCCTGCACAGACAGAAAAAAACATGCTCTGACCAATAGTACACACTGCAATTCAGGCAAGCCTAGAGCTTTGCAAACATGATATTAACGGGGGAAAAACTATGTTTTCTAAATTCATTTAGGACTTTATGAGGTGGATACTCCAAGTTATTACTATATATAAATTGTAGGTTAATTTTGTTGTTAGGAACAGGAATTCTCCCTTCTATGTGAAATAAAAATATATACTAATAAAATATTTTGTTTCACAGGTTTGCTGTATTTTTTTGTAAAATCAAGGTTTGATATGTTTTGAAGGAAGTCACACTTCTACCAAAAATACCCTAAATGAAACACAAGTGAATGTCTACTCAGAAATTTTATCCATCATTCCAGGTTTAACAGGCAGCACAAAGAGAGCACACAGATATTAACAAATTACAAAAAGTAGCTTGGTTGAAGAGATGTTTGCAAGGAAATAAATGAAATGTGGAGAGAAATTAAAAAGCTGACTGTTGAATAAAAGGAACAGCTGCCAGAATTCCACACAAACATAATTTCTAACTGAATCCACAAAAATTAATTAATTTACTATGTCAGGACAGGGAGAGGAAAATACTGAATATGGAGCATAATTTTCAGTAGTCTGAAGGCAATACACGAACTACTGCAGGATACTGGTTTTGTATCAGGAACAGTATGTTACATGTATAAGTGAAAATACCTTTAGTGATAAGATGCAAAAAAACCAGGACTAAAACTAATATAAATGAAAAAGAGTTCAGCAGGACACTGTATCCAGAAGATGAGGGAGAGAGAAATCAAAGCCAAAGATTGAAGAACATTAATGCCAGCAGACATGATAGAATAAACCAACTTGGATACAAAGGAGAGTGAAAAGAGCTACAGACTTTTAAAGAGCAGTACTAAGGCAGCTGTTGAAACTGTGCATGAAAAATCATGGATGACAGAACTTGAACGAGCATCAGCGAGAGCAGATGAGGAGCTGGACTAGAGCAGGTCTGCTGGTACCTGGGACACAACCAACCTGTGCCTCCTGTAGGTTCAGAGGGATGGTAAACAGTTAACTCAGGACTTTGTAAATCAAAGAGGGTAAAAGGATTAAGCAGGGATACAGCAAATGGCAGATCCTGCACAGGACAACTCAGCAGCACAGTTCGATGCTACAGCCTCCCAGCAGTAAGGCAAATAAAGCCCTTTTTTTCATACAACCCAATTTACATTTTTGGAAGAATCCTACATGTAGAAATAGCCAGAGTGAAGGAACTCTTGTATAAACGGGATAATCTTGTCCTTGTTTATAAAAATCAGGCTTTATGATCTTTACCTTTGACCCTGAGAAACGGTTTGAATTTTAAGTGTATTATGAAGCATTTGTTTTACCAGCACTCTGCTAACTTTATGGATTTACACTGGTGTATACCAAAAATATTTGGCATAGTGCATCGACTTTTCTATAGTTTCACATACCAAAAAGTAATTTATTTGTTTTTATCTTCCAAACCAACCTTTTGGAACGGGATAATCCTAAGGATTTGGTTCTTTCTGAAGAACTACTGCCCTAAAAACAAGAAAAAAATGTAAAGGTCAACACATTTCTATCCAAGGGACCTGTCAACAAAACCAGTTTCTTGCTTTAACTAGAACACATCTCAGAAGTTACCAATGCTTTTATTAAAAAAAAAATAAATTAAAAAAAGCAGCAGGAAAAGCATTAACAAGTGACACACAATCTCAACAGTCATGCCAGTTCAGTTAAACCAAATCTATGGAGTTTCAGATCAGAAGGAAGCAGCTTCCTGTGGATGCACCTGTGGATGCTCTTCACAAAGAAACCACAGCCTTTTCCAACACCCCCTCCCAGAGGGTTCTGCAAGGCTGGCCCTGGGCACTGTGCCCAGTGTGCCCCCAGAACTGCCAGCACAACACTGACACTTGTTACCTGGCTCATGTGCCAGAAAGCACTGGCTGCCTTTACAAGAAAACTGATTTTTCAGAGGTTTTTGCACTCATATCATAACCAGGTCTGGGCAGCTTAAAATACCTGAATTTACAGCAGCAAAGGCAAACTAAGGCAGGACTCTGACACTTGTGTTCTCTACATATTAAGGTGTTGTCAAGCAGAATGTTTCCAGCAGGAGAATAGTTAGTAGTAACATATACTACATGAAAAATTTCTTTAATGTGCATAACATATCACACAGAAGAAATCTGCTCATGTCTAATATAGATCCTGCATGCCCATATTTCTTTCTCTTTTAAAAAAGGAAGCATATTTGCCTCAAAGGACAACTAAGTACCTACTGTTATCTGAGTATCACAGTGTAAGTGTAAATAGAGACCAATTCTTTTAAACCAAAAATAGTAAGAGCCTGGTAACCTATAATCCAAAGAACAGAATAAGGATAAAACAATATTAACCAAATTTCTTTATAAAGAAAACCTCACTTTGCAATATGCTCAACATGAATCAGTTAACAGCACTTATTTCTTAACAAAAATGCAACTGCACACCTCAGGTAAGCAAAGCCTAACTCTCTGTTAGAGACTGTTAGAGACATTGTTCTCAGGAATTATTGTGCACCAGAAAGACAATGAAGTTGCCCAAGTAAATTCATGTACTTCAGTAATTTAGAAATAAAAGGGGAGGAGGACAGAAACAATTGCTTGCACGTGCCTAAATCAAAATGAGTTTAATTCAAAATATAAAATTTAATTTTACATTTATTTTTATATATTTTACAGCTAATGTTTCTATTCAACAGACGTGATGACATTTACTGGGTGGTTCTGACAGGATTTTTTAAGTATTTATTGTAAAAGCAACATAGTGAACTCAGCCATTCTGCACTAGACATGCAACTAGAATTCAAAAGTGCTTTTATTCCTACCTCATCTCTATTGTTCTCCATTGAAGCTGGACTTCCTTTAGGTTCTCTACTTTTACCTATGGAGAGAAATTAAAGGAATCCACTGAACTGCAAGAAACATTAGAAGTTCTCCACATTGCACATCACATTGTTAATGTTTCACCAGCCTGAATAAAGATGACTGTGTGACTTTCAGAGACAAACTGTTGCACAATGAAACACGTTCCACTACATGGCATAAATTCTACAGAAATAACCTAGGAATCCCTTTCAGTTCAGTCCCAGACAGGCTGAGGAACAGCCTTCCCCTTGGTGCAGAAATCCTGAAGCAATGGAAATAATACATTAGTGTATTTTTGTTAATCTCTAAGAAGTTACTTCAAATTTTTTCTCTTACACATCTTGACATTAGAAATAAAGTATTAAATCTGGGATCACAAAACCACAGACAAAAAACCCACCTGAAATAGGATATGACTGTGAATTCCCATTTCTCTGTCTCGGGAACTGTGGAATACAAAGCCTAAACACCTGCAACCTATTAGCACCTGTTCCCATCCACCAGCCCTGGCAATGGAAGGGAATGTTTCAAGTTCAGTGACTCAATGATACTCGGAAGAAGATGCTCCAAAGGGTCAGGAACAGCAGGATTTTAACAGATGCACTACAGAGAAGGAAGTATAATTACAATCCTGGATTATCCTGTAAATATCAGGATTATTTGTGATTTTAGCATAAGACTACTAGCACTGCAACTTAAACTTCAGTTTTGGGAAAACCGAACAATTTTCTTCTACACTTTAAAATGTAGAAGATTAGAGAATTCAATGCTGGCTATTTGACCTGGGCTGAACTGTTTCAGTAAATTGCAGCAAAACTTATCCAGTCATTTCTGCATGTGAAGGAGGGAATAAAAAAATGGAAGCAGATGTTTTTGGCTCTTTTAAATACCCGAAATTTCTTCTCTGGAATATTACAGGTATTTCTGTATTCTGAGGAAAAAACCTGAGATTTGGAAGGAGGGTGACACACCTTCTGGAGATCACATGCTGCCCACCTTCTACTCTTGACCAATTTGGCCAAGTGATAAATCCATGGAAAATACCAGTTTGTACATCTTGGCAGAGCTTTCTTTGCTCTGGCAGCTCCAATCCCTGCAGACTCTGCACTTGGACCTGGTACTCACATGCTGCTCCCTCTCCATTCCCACAGAACCAGGGAGTGGCTGCACCATCCCCTCCCAGCTCCCAGTGCTGACCCCCTGCTCCTGCTCCCTGCTTCCCAGGGCAGGGGCTGGACTGGACACTGGAGCAGCCCAGGGACTGCCCCTGGCACCGTGCAGGGCACAGGAGGGACACACCCAGTGCCAGTGCAGAGGGGAGACTGAAACATCAGTAAGGCTGGAAAATCAAGTACTGCTTCCTATTTTAATTGACCTCTGTGTGTGGCAGGGACATGTTCCAACTCTCCTAAGCCATACTTAACCTTCACCATCATCTCCCTCCTCACAACACAGTACCCAATAATTCACATATCTCCCACATGCTGGAACAATCCAAGATCCACTACTATATAAACCTGACTTGGCCCCAGTCACATCCATAACTTGAGCTTGTAACAAGCATCCTGTGCATTACAAAAAAAGCAAGCACAGTTGCTAAAGACGCCGTCATCATCCACAGAACATTGGGAGGGGAAGGAAATTTGCACAGTTAATTCTGACATTTCCTAATATTTAAATGTTTAATCCTGACTTTTCTACTTCAATATGTTCTTTTAGATCTCGAAACCAACACTGAAACAGGCCTGCTATGAATTTGCAAGTGTACCCATTTCAAAGACAATTTGTATTTTACAGCAAGGAACCAAATTCTACCTTTTAACTACACAGGATAAAGGAAAAGATTTCTTTTTCCCAGTGTGCTCCTCAGCAAAATTTCACTTTGAGATGTGTCTACACCACAGTTTATTTTACTATTCTGCTGAGGTATCACAGGAGTCATTTCTTTTTCCTATTTTAGCAGTTCAGTTTGATGCTGGTGAGCGCCACAGGCAGCAGACTCTCTCAAAACAAATCATTAAAAGACAAAAACAGCATGCCAGAAAACCCATGGAAGATATTACTTAGGACAACAGGAGTTTGAAAATAAACTCCATAACACAGCCAGCACACTCTCATTCTCCTGGGCTCCACCGCTTCAGCACAACTTTTAGCTCATTAAACAGTAGAGACTGAAAGGTTTTGCACCTGTATCAGATCCAAGTTAAACTAAGAAACAGTTTAACCAGTTAAATTTGGAAACAGATTTTATTCAGTACTGATACAAAATTATTTCACTTTTAATCACTGTAATCAAAACAGCGTTTAAAATTCATTACCTATTTCTAACTTGTACGTAAAAATTCTAATAACCAGTTCTGACCTAGTGCAGGACTCCAGGTTTTTCAGAAATCTTATTTCCTTTTCAAATGTTTCCAGATTACATGTAGAAACCTTTTTCAAATAACTACGAAAGCATAAGCTCCAGAACTTCTTCCACAACTGCAAGGACTGCAAAAGCTTTACTTCAGCAGAAGAACCAAGATACTGCATTTACAAATTCAGGAACACTGAACAAGGTACTCCTAGCACAGCAAATACATGTGTGTTTGCCATCTCGTGTTTCATAGAAGGTAAATCTAACCAGAAGGCTAGATTTTTTTTTCACATTTAGAAAGATTCAGAACTGAAATAAATATTGCATCAAAGGTCTATTGTGTATTTATTAAGATATCACCACATAAATCACATTAGGACTTTGTATAATTGCCCCAGTGAAATGTGATAAATTGAAATAACAACAGCAAGTTAGTTGACTTGAGAATCATATATACACTAAAAGTAAAAAAAAAAAATAAGATGTGTTTTTACCTGTGCTTTTGTTTTTAGATAATGCTGGAGGAGAGTTTGCGTCCTCAGATTCTTCTGATGAGTGAGCCAAGAAGTCATGTAGTTTCTGTACCAATGTGTTCAACTTGCTTTCACTGTTAAAATACAAGTAATACTTCAAATTACTTACATAGCTCACTCTAATTTACCAAACTTGAAAGAAATTATGTTTCATCTCAATTAATACACACCAACAAGAGATTTAAACATTTGTTTCTGCATAAGTATATCAAAGTAAATAGAACACACACAATTTTTTTAAAACCTGAGCAAAGTGGTAGGTGCACCCTTATTGACAAAAAAGCACTAAGGACTTTGTCAATAATAACAATTCTATTTTAAGTCATTTTTACTGTTTACAATTACTGACAGAATTCAAGAAAATCTGAGTGGTAATGCTGTTATGCCATGAAGACAGAGAAAAATTAATTTAAGATTCTACTTTGTCAGAGACTAGACAGGTAAAAACAATAAAATCTTGATTTTATTACCAAAAATGTAACCTTTGGGGATATAAAACACTAGAAGTGACAGCAGTTTCACCTACAGCCTTTGAACAAAGCAGGTGTGTTGAGTGTGGCAGATGAACACGCTCGTGCCAAACTTTTCTTAAAAACCAACCATCTACATAAACCTGCTGCGTCACGTGTTCATTTTGTCAAAACACAGCCACGCAGGAGCAGACTGTTCCTGGATCTGCCTGGATGAGAACTGGTAACTCATTTATAGAGGACAGTGGGAACCTTCCCTTGGCACTGCCAGGAGTTGCCGGCCTGGTGTGCCCATGCCCACTGCAGGAACCCCCTGATCCCCAGCTTTCCTTCAGGAGGCACCGCCCCAGAACCCACGGGCTGTTCGTGCTGTTCCCTCACACTGTCCCTGCTCTGTTCCAGATCTCCTCCTCCCAGAGCTTCTGCAGTTCCCCGAGACAAGACTCCTCCAGCTGCAGGTGCGGTGCTGAGGCCAAGGGCTTTGGGAGCCCTGCAGAGAAGTGTCCCCTCAGCTGTTTGCCCACTCAGTGCTCTGGAACCTGCCAGGGGCTGACTCATCCTGCCTTATCAGCTGCTCCACACCTCCTCCAGCTGCTGCCCTGCCCTGCCCCCTGCAGAAGGGAGCCCATTCATTTCAACACACTCTTCTAAGAGCAGGAAGAAATAACATTTTCTGTCCCTGCTTTACAGGTCATAGGAACTTGTATTTAGCAGGACCTCAACCCACTCACCTTTACCATCTCTACTGTTTCTCTGAACACATCAATTTATTAGCTTCTTTCAATTTTAACTGTTATTGTTAAAAAAATCCCGTTTTATAAGAAGGACGTGCAGGTGAACAATGAGTGAAAGGGTATCATCACGTCAATGCAAGTGACTATTTTAACCAATGAAAAGAACCACAAATAAAACAGCATAAAACATCCATTTAAAAAAATAACGTTAAATTTCTTTAAATCTTCTGAAGTACCCAAAATAAAACAAAACAGCACCTTGTGATACAAAGATCCTCTGCATGAGCGAAGGGCACTCTTCTTCCAAGACTACATATGTGCCATCAATCACTCAAGTGACTTTGAAAGAGTGTAACAAAGCTGGTTAACTCTCAAGTGTAATCTTAAAATTTTCCTCTCAATCTGTCCAAAAGTCTTTCCCTCTAATTATTGGACTCATGCTGCTACACAACTGCCAGTCCCTAAATCTGGGCTTCCCTTTTTCTCATGGATGGAGGGCATACTTGGAAAACATTATGGAAGATGATAACGATACACTGCAGTTTTAACAGCTTGCATGCTCTCCTTTAGAAAGGAGATTTAATGACAATTTACTCACATTAAGTTAAAAAAAAAAAACTAGGGCTGTTCAAAATTATTTGATAGTAAAAGCATATAAAGAGATTTTATATCCACTCCAGATGGTCTGAAGAAATAACGCACATTTAGAAAGGACAAAAGAAAGCACATTTTTGGTAGTAAAAACCAAAAAAAGGGGCCACATGTGGAATTCTGTTCATTTAGTTTATAAATAACTTGTTTTGGTAACAGCATTTCAGAAAGAAAATGGGAAATACAGATGAGTTTAGTATTATTGTTCTCAATACAAAACAAACTCAGTATAGTAGGCCCGTGTCTTTGTGACACACTTGGAACATTATCTACTATCATTTATTAACTCTTACCCTAACTAGACTAAAATTATCATTTTCAGAGCAAAATGTTCTTGCTGACAAACAACTAAAAAAGAAAATATATAAATTAATACTAAAAAGTCTTCTTAGCTTGCTTTTCCTCTTGATTAATCATCATTTTGTACTATAAGGCTGTATTAAGGAACACCAGGTCAAACCTAAGAAAAGGTGTTACACTTACTATACTTTACCAGAGAGAAATGTTAATTTAGGGCAATGCTGTACTCAGTTTTGTACAGAAGTGATTTATATGTCATGTATTTATACTTGAGAATAATAATCTATCTTTTTTAAAGCTTCTACTGCAAAATCCTTATTCGTTGCAATACAGACCCATTCACTATTAAATTGATCACAACCTATAAATGTGTATTTTTTAAAAAAACATAGAAACCCAAAAATGTAGAAGCATGTCAGAAGCACTACTGAGGCAAGCAGGCTCCTCGACATGGAACAACTCACTATTGTTCTCAGACTTGTGTGCACTAAGCACACGGCTTCACCATCAGTCCAGAGCTATTTCAACACTGTTCAGCCTAATTAAAACAGGAATGAAAGGGAAGGTGCCCTGCTATTATTGGCTTGGCCATGAACCTGATTTGTGACCTTGGGAAACTATCTTGTGAGAATACCATTTCTTACCCACATTCCAACCAAGCGCTGTACAATCAAACTATAAATGCCTGGCCTTTAACAGGATAACAAAAAGGTCCATAGTAGGCAAATCACCTCGAAGGTTAAATGAGTCCACAAATATTTAGAATAAATAAAGAACTAGACAGGTGGTTTCCTGATCTAGGCACAACATAATTCACTCAATCTGGCTGGGACCACTGTCCCCTTGTATGTTCTTACCTACACTGGGTTTGTGTGGCAACATTTTGGTGGTGGGGGACTACAGGGTGACAAACTTCTGTGAGAAGGCACCAGAAGCTTCCCCCATGTCCAACACAGCCAATGCCAGAGGGCTCCATGATGGACCCAGTGCTGGCCAAGGCTGAGCTCACCAGCAATGCTGGTAGTGCCTCTGGGATAACGTTTTTAGGAAGGGGGAAAAAACCTGCTGCACAACAGCAGCTGGGAGAGAGCAGTGAGAGTGTGTGAGAGCAGCAGCCCTGCAGACAGCCAGGCCAGGGAAGAAGGAGCTCCAGGCACTGGAGCAGAGATGCCCCTGCAGCCTCTGGGGGTCCATGGAGCAGCAGAGACCCCCCTGCAGCCGGGGAGGACCCCACAGCAGAGCAGGGGAGCCCCAAGGAGGCTGGGACCCCGCAGGGAGCTCGTGCTGGAGCAGGCTGCTCCTGAACCCCTCGGGAAAGGCCTCGTGCTGGAGCAGTCCAGGAAGAACTGCAGCCCACGGGAAAACCCACACAGGAGAGGTTCATGAGGACTGGCTCCCATGGGATGGGCCCCACGCTGGAGCAGGGCAGGAGTGTGAGGAGGCAGGAGCGACAGAGACAAGGTGTGATGAAGGGAGCACAGCCTCCATGCCCGTCCCCCTGCACTGCTCAGGGAGAACAGGCAGAGAATCAGGAGTGAAGTTGAACCTGGGAGGAAGGGAGGGGTGGGGGGAAGGTGCTTTAACATTGGGGGTTTATTTCTTATTACCCTACCCTGATTTGATTGGCAATAAATTCAGCTGATTTCCCCACGTGGGGTCTGTTCTGCCTGTGATGGTAATTGCTGAGTGGCCTCCTTGTCCTTATTTCAAAATGAGCTTTTCATAGTATTTCCTCTCCCCTGCCCAGCAGAGGAGGGGCAGTGTTGGAGTGGCTTTGGTGGGCACCCAGTGTCCAGCCAGGGTCAGCCCAGCACATCACCTCTGTTAGCTGTTGATCCTGCCTCCCCAAAGAGAGTCACATCACCTTGGACAAGTAAAATTTTAAGGACCGGTTTTCATTTGGATCCAACTTGCCACATGTTCACATGGTTATTCCCTGTGAAGGCAGCTCAGGTGATGAAAATTCACAGCCAGGAAGGAACAGGATTGGCCATTTTAGCAGCAAACCCAGTCCCATTGGATTATACTGTGAAACTGCACTAAAAACCTGGTTATTGCAATCAGTGTCTATCTACTTTCTTCAAAAATGTAGGTGGAGAATGTCAGTTACTGTCAAACATCTGGAAGAACAGTTGGAAAACCACCTTTTCTTTAAACAAACAAATTTGTCCTTCTTCCATAGGATCCTACCAACTTTTAGTCTAAACAAGTGCCCCTCATCTGAATTTCAAGTGGCTCCTGGAAGTCAGTGAGACAGGAGTGCTTTCCAGCTTTTATCCCAATGCTGATAAATAGGCTTTTCTTAAATACCTGCCTTCCTTACATTCAATACTTGTCTAAAACTTTAGACTGTTTAAACTTTTAAAATAGTTCAAGGGCACAAGTTTTTTAAATTCATGTTTACATTTACTTCAAGTTAAATCTCAAGTTGAAATGAAATACAGCAGAATAACTATTAAGCAGACAAAATGAAACAATCCTTAGGAAAAATAATTACAGAAAAATAAAACCAGATGTGCTTTTCAACTGCTGGTCTGTAGACTGCCATCCTCTGCTTCAGTCTGTATCCCTGTGTGAACAGCAGAAGTCTAATAACCCACAGCAAAAGTCTGACTAATTTAATTAAGATGCTGGGAAGACACAGTACCTGTGCCTTCATATAATCAGGCCAGTATTGTGACACCTGAAAATCTTCATAAATTTTTTCCTGATGAGAAGGAAAGGGATTAGACTTACCCCCATTCAAAGATTTTAGTTATGAGGGCTGAGCCTACATAGTACAGTTGTTTCATACAAAACATGTCAATATTGTGGCTGAACACACATGAATGAAATAGCTTAAAGCTATTGGAAAGAGTGACAGAGGATAAAATATACAACAGAAATTGTTTATTTTCTTATCCCAGTAAAAAAAAGGAG